TGTGTAGGTGTGTGTGTGTGTGTGTGTATATATATATATATATTTTTTCAGCCACATTGAGGTCCAATTAAAATTTTCAATACAAGTCCATTGAGGCCCATTTAACCCCCAACCCATTTAATGTATTATTTCTCTCAAAGGTTTCATTTTTGAATTTTGCCATTTTTCGCAACTTTTGCATTCTTTTCTCCAATTTTTCATTAAGCATAGAGTTTTACTTACAAAACACAATATAACATAAATTAAGTAAAATTTAATCCAAAAAACAATAAAACATCATAATTTAGGACCACGAATAAGTGTATAAACTACACTTATCACAAAGAAAAGAAAAACGAAGAGATAAATACATACCAGCACTCATTCAATAGCGACAAGAGAATTTAAAGTCCAGTTGATTCCAAAAATAATTTCTCAAAATAAAAAAAGGGGTTTTTCATTGAAGGGTCCCTCATTCTCAATGATTACAAAAAGCCAAAAATTTTAGTCTAGTGAATACATAATATATATTCATGAAAATAAAACAAAAGAAACGAAGAACTACAACCATAAAAGTCAAAACTTTTATCCAATTATGGAGGAATAAATCGAAAACCCCTATATAAGGTGGACGGGAAACTTACTCCAAAATTAAGCAACCTTCATCACCAGAACACGCGTAAAAAAAAATAAAAAATCGCGCAGCGCTCACAGTGCCCGTCGTGTCTTCTCTTTGCGTGGAGCCTTTTTTTTTTTTAAACATTGCTAAATGTCCGGAACCAATTTCTAAGATAAAATCAAATTCTTCAAAATAGAAAGACAAATCAAATTATTCGAACTCCAATACGTCATTTTTTGTAGCAGACCGAGGAAAAAAAAAATGGAAATGAATATATATAAGACGTGTATAAAATGGATATAAAACGTATGAAATTAAAAAATTGTGGGACTTGAAGAGTGAAAAACGAGAAAATGAACAGCAACTTTTCATTGGTTACTATTGCATCTACAGTACCCAAAAATTGTCTTTTTTAGATAGCAGTGATATATCCGAAGCACCGATGCTTAGCTCTCTAAGCACTCGATGACGTGAAACTCTACAATATGTGGTGTAATCAATTTTGTAATAAACCATTATCTTAGACCATGTTTGGTAGTGTGCCACTGCATCTGGTACTAAACAAACCAGTCAAAAAATTGACCAAACTAGTGAGACATCCATGTATCGAAAGGGGCGGCCTTACAAAAGTGTGTGATTTATAACCCTTGAACTTATTATTCATCAACTAAAACTTTACACATCAGTAAGCAAAAAAGTAAACCATGTTGGCCAAAGATTGCAAGTGGACAATATTGCAAAACAAATAATATAGTGAATTCGAAGAGTTAGCTATATATTTAATGATTATATAAGTACTTATAACTCCTATTTGAATAAGTAAACATAAACATTGATTGCAAGGTTTTAATCAGAATTAAGATTAACAAATAAAAAAGCAATTGAAAAGTATTTTTGAACAACTTGAGTAATGAATTAAATAGGATGCTTAAAGTGTCGGGGTCATGATCTTACCGTAGTTATTAACTTTAAGCCGGTCATTTTCAATTCCTGAGGGTGTATTGGGTCGAGAATTAACTAATGTAATTTATTATTTCTTTCAAGTTCTAATAAATCATATTTAGTAAAGTTAACTCATTAGTCATTTTAACTCTATGTAAATCTGAGTAAACTTTAACTAGACGCATCAAATCATCTAAGAGTTCAATTAAGTATTGCAATAAGGGTCCGTTTGATTGCAAGTGTGGAAAATAGGTGGAAAGAAAATGAATTCCAGATAAAATAATTGGCCAGAACTTGTTTTTCAGAGAATTGTTAATTACGTGTGTTTGATTGGTAAAATTTTTCACCCGAAAAATTTTAAAATTTTGGATCTTTTTATATTCGTTTGGCTTTATTTTACATGAAAATTGTCCATTAAAGTGAATTTTTTTTTATTTTTTTTTACATTTTGTTATGAAATTTGTTTATATTGAAAAAAAAAAAGATGGAATTCCATTTTCCCATAAAAAAGGTGGGAAAAAACAATTCAACCATTTTATGGAAAGTGAGCACGTGTGTGGCATTTGTGAAAAAAGAATTCCATGAAAATTTTAGCATATCAAACGTGACAAAAGAATTCCATTTTCCATGGAAATTTTAGCATATCAAACGAGGCCAAATAGTAAAAGTATATCTCTACATTCTACGAAAGCACGGAATTTTACTAATGGTCTAAATTTAATAATTTATAACTCATCTCTTGGTTTTTTATAGTTCACAAATTATCGAATTAGTGATCAAATAATTCAAGCGTAGCACAAAGAAGTAAAATTAATGCATAAATCAATTATCATCGAAAACTTGAAAAATTGAAATTAAAGCCTTTAGAATTATCTCTCCCATTCATAAATTAATTAGAATTAACATGTTCAAGGTCATCCTCCATTTTTTCCTTGTCGTGTTCTCACGCCAATTGTACAACTTGTCCAACTGGGCTAAACAAGCTTTAAAATTCTCTCTCATTCATATATTTATGGAAAAATTGCAGCAGCGTTCCTCAATATTTTCAATTTTTGTAAACTTTATCATAACTTTCAATTTGTGCTAACGAACGTTCCCAACCTTTCAGAAATATGAAGTTGGGGTCCAAACGAATGGAAACCATCTCTTTGACCGTTAGTTGACCAAAAAATTGATTTTGACCAATTTGATAAATACAAAATGATAACGCCACAAATTTTACATAAAATAATTTAAAAAGGAAAAAGAAAAAAAAAACAAATTCTACCCACCTTCCTTACCCCACACCACCCCCACTATCATGAAAGTTTATCCTCTCTTTAATTGTGTTCTATGATTATTTTATGACAAGAAATGGGACACGGAGGTCGGTGAACTCTCCTCTATAGTCTCCACCACTTGTTTCGCCCATCGCCACCAATGGCTCTCCATCAACTTGTCTTTATTTTGGCTCCGGTCTTCCAACGCCTTGTGACGTCTTTTGTGTAATTTTCAGCAAACGAAGACTATAACTACTCAAGTAAAGTCAACGAAACAACTTCAACTTATTCCTTCTTCCCTTTTAACAATAAACAAGACCCAACAAAAACTAGAAATGGAAAGGAAGTAGGAATGAGACTATTTGAAAGTGAGCTTGGTGTGGCTGTTGCACTCAAGCTGCCAAAGAACATAAGAAACTAAAGGTTATTTTTTAGAGGAAAAAGCAGAGGAGAAAATGGGTTTAGATGGGAAGAAAGAGGAAAAAAATGCTATAAGATGAAAATACCCTTCACTTCATGGGGAATTTTGATGAGAATTGAGAAAAATGACCTTTTGTATAATCAAATACGTAATTAAGGACGAAAACGTCGAAAAAATAAAAGGTAAGAATTCCCGTCATCCCTTCATCCCATCCACTCTAATTCTATCCTATCTTTTTAAACTAACAATTTGTAAGGAGAAAGGAAATAGGGCGACAATGAAACTCGTCATTTTCGAGAAGATGACCACGTTGGACATTTCAACAATAGTATTTGGCTTGATTCTACCAAGAGAATTAATTTGAAATGGCACGTCCAATCTTATCCTATTGACTATTATTTAAATATTGGTTTATTAATTAATGGACCAAACTTGACAAACCCTTCCTACCTGCAAACATCAATTATTCAACGTAGTTCATTTCACGTCCTTAATCTATTCTTGTTGATGCAATCCAGTTGGTTTTACTAGTATTTCTATAAAAAGCAATACTTTTCTGTCCTACAATCATTATTTTTATAAGTTCAAATTAACGTATAAAAACATAAACATGAATCTTAAAAATTTTCATCTTAAAAAGTTAAATCTTATTAAGATGAGATTAATCAAACATGAAGTTCGGATTTTACTTAATTTAACGTGTTTGTAAAATGATAGCTCTTTTGAAAACGGGTTATCCGATTGGTAGTTTAGATTTATTGTGAATTCAACCATTCGTTTAAATTTTTTTAACTAAACTCACACACTAGATTAAGCCATGTTTGGTTTAGCTAGAAAAAAAAAAATCATATCTGGAGTAGATTTTGATAAAAGTTGATGAAATGTGTGATTAAAAAGTTGTGGATCAAATAAATATGTAATTGGACGAAAAATGAATTTTAGAAAACGAGAGCATCGATTAAGTCTCGGGTGCACCCAGAAAATTACTTGGAAGATGAGTGCATGCAGTGGGCCCCAATATTCTAATTAGCCATGCAATGGTCTGCATCATTAGGTAAGCTGTTTGTGCCAAACACATACATCGGAGCTCTATATATTGGCCCCAAATGCTTTGCAATATTCACCATGCAATTTTTTTCTACTCCCAACTGATTAACTCGATGGCTGCTTTTTCAGTTGTCTTTTTCACTATCGTTATACTGTTCATTGGATGCACTTCAGCTCAACTTTCCACTAATTTTTATGACAAGACTTGCCCCAAGGTGTTATCCACCGTGAAATCGGTGGTTCAATCCGCCGTAGCAAAGGAGAAACGTATGGGCGCTTCACTCCTCCGCCTCCACTTCCACGATTGCTTTGTCCAAGTAACTTTCATTTCTAATTATATTCATTCATCTAAAAGCCCCCCGATCGCCTTGGTGCTTATATCATGAAATAGCCATAGAACTATTAAATTATGTTAAATGCACACTAAACACGAATTCGAACATGTGAAGAGAAAAATGCATAGAAACTATGGATTATATAGTTGGCTCTTCAAGCTGTTGAAATTTAGTAACACTAATTTTACTACTAAAAGCAATGAAATCGCAGAAAAAAATAGATACAAAAAAAAAAAATTTATAGATGTTTGTCTTAATATTACGTTATCTTTCGCTGCTACAGTACTTCACCTATGATGAAAAGAAGTTTATAAAAAAAATGAAAAATCTTATTTTCTATAATTAGATTTCATACAACAACGATAATTAAGTTCCACAACTTAATAGAAACAACATAAACTATCATGATCCTTAATTTGTGGTGTAGTTGCACTAGGCTCCTTAATAAACTTATAATTTACCTTTATGTAAAGGCATGAATAATTAGATAATTTTTCGTAGCGGCTTTTTATAGTGCTTTTCATTGATTGTGCGATATTCTTGTTTTTTTCTAAGCTAAACTATTTTATTACAAGTTATGCTCCTAGTTATATATTTAAATTTCTTCTTTTATGTTCAAAATATCAAATTTGACTTTCAACAACACATTCTCCAAAAAAAAAAAAATCTAAAAAAAACTCATTAAAATGAATGTCAAACAGGGGCTAAGTTACAACTTACAAGTGCTAAAGAGAAGATTTAAACATATACATTCAATCCACAAAACATCTACAGAGTCGGTTTGAAATAACATATCCATCATGTGGCAATTGTCTCTACGAAACTTACACTTTTAGAAACGAAAAATTTGTCGTAAAAAAAGTCACTATTTATGTTATTTTGTCAAAAAAATAGCCGTCAAAAGATTTTTCAACTCAATAGTTTTCATGAATGATCGAATTCTCACAGAGATTCCACTTGCAAATCACAGTTTTTGTCACAGTCTGTGGAGCACAATTTCTTCCATTAAGATAAGATTATTCTCCTTTTTTAATAAATCATTTTTATGACTCTTTTATTCAAGTAACTGTTGTCTTGTCATGTGACGAAAAGCCTAAATTGGTACGTCGTCGTTGTCAAATAATTATAAAAACTTTGTACTAATTAGAGTTCTTTATTTGGTGTCTAGGAGCTAATTAAACATGTGATCTTTCTCGTTTTTAATAGGGTTGTGATGCATCGGTTCTTCTTGACGACACTTCTTCCTTCACCGGGGAGCAAACTGCTGGGCCCAACAAAAACTCCCTTAGAGGATTCAATGTGGTCGACAACATTAAATCCAAGGTTGAGGCTGTATGTCCAGGTGTCGTGTCGTGTGCTGATATCTTAGCCATTGCCGCTCGTGATTCTGTTGTTATTGTGAGTCATATTAAAAACATTTTTGCTTACAAAATTAATTATTGCAAGTTGGTTTAGCTTAAATAATTAATACTAATTTTAGAATATTTTTTTTTAGCTCGGAGGACCTAGCTGGAATGTGAAACTTGGAAGGAGGGATTCAAAATCAGCAAGCCTTTCAGCCGCAAATAGTGGTGTACTACCAGCTCCAACATCTGCTCTTAGCAGCCTCATACAGACGTTCAAAGCACAAGGCCTCTCCACCAAGGACATGGTTGTTTTATCAGGTATATAAGTATCGTATAACTTGCTTAGTAGGTCGAATTACAAGTTTTCTCTAATATTTATATCTAGCAAGTCGTACGTCATATTAAAATATGACTAAACAAGATTAAAGAATATAGTCACACGATAATTTATTAATGATTATGTAATATAATATTACCCGAGGCTAAATAATCGAATAAATTAATGCATGTTTACCCAATAATAAAAATAAGTCAAATTTTAAGCCTCTATTTTGATAATCATTATTTCAAAAAAAAATTATTGTACATATATATTTTCATCCACACATCCACACAATAAAATATTTTGCACATAAACTCAAAAAAATTTCCAACTTTTTAACTTCACATTCCAAAAAATTCACTATTCAAAAATTTGTTTTTGCCAAATAATGGTCATCAAACAGAGTAAGTTTTCTATGAATACATATTTGAATAAATTAATTTCTTATAATTTAAAACATTAATTATTCTCTTTGAGATTGTAAGTAACTTGCCTAAATTTGTATCTAACTTTGACCAATAAAAATATTTATTCTAATACTTAGTTATTACTTATATGTAAACTTATAGTTATAGATAATCTTTTATTGCTTATTCAAATTGGGCTTAGTTCGATAATCTTGAGGAAAGGGAGGGCCAAAGATGGACAAAAATAGTAAAACATTAGTACATCAAGTGTTAAAGATAACTACATTTCATTGAACCTAGTTATATTCCTTGTCAGTATACATCAAGTGTAGTGACTGTGTCTCCTGGTCACATTGACCTTGCTACTTGAAGAAAAAAATTTGTGAATTCCAAATTCGGGAAATCCATTTCCATCTTTGAAGTGGTTTCATTGTAATGAATTAGGAGCGCACACAATCGGGCAATCAAGGTGTACAAGCTTCAGGGATCGCATATACAATGAGAGCAACATCGACGCTTCTTTTGCTCAAACAAGGCAAAGAAAGTGTCCAAGACCTGTGGGTTCTGGGGACAACAACTTGGCACCTCTCGACGTCCAAACCCAAGATAAGTTTGACAATAATTACTACAAAAACCTAATAAACAAGAAAGGACTTTTGCATTCTGATCAGATTCTGTACAGTGGTGGATCAACTGATTCATTGATTGAATCCTACAGCAAGAGCCCTAATTCTTTCAACTCTGATTTTGCTGCTGCAATGATAAGGATGGGTGATATTAGTCCCCTCACGGGATCAAGAGGCGAGATAAGGAAAAAATGTGGAAGGCCAAATTGATGAAGTGAGATAAATATGTTGTATTTTTCAAGAATAAAAGTCGTTTAGGTTTGTTCGATAGAAATGATTAAATAGTATTGGACAATATTAAAAAAGAAAACAAATTGAAATCTTGTTTATTATATTGTCCAAATATGGTCAATTCTTCGTATCAAACATGAACACTTATCATTGAGTTAATTTTGTTTCGTTTCTTTCCTTGTAAGTGTACGTAGCTAGCTAGTGTTACAATATTATGATAGGATTGTATCATAAATTTTATTTATAATATTGTATTTGATGTACCAAAATCTCCATTCATAGACAGAACTTTGACGTCCTCAAAGAGTTGCATGTTTCAATCCTTGAATCATCATCGTATAGTAAATTGTTGATCATGAACATTTGAATTTTATTATATATACAAATAATATATATATTTTAAGCACTTGGTGACATGATACACTACAATAGGCGGTGTAACGTCATCTAGTCCTGAACAAACCAGTCCAAAAATTGACCAAACTAGTGAGACATCCATGTATTGAAAGGGGCAGCCTTACAAAGGGTTATGCTACATATACATAATTTTTTAC